CGTACTCAAAGCACAAAACATAATGAATGAGTTGGTGGAATTTTATTTTGTGTGACTGTTGTTTTTTTTTCTGTCAGTGTTGAATCTGAGAAAGAGGCCAATCATGGATATTCACTCTTGATGAAAGACAGACTACAACAGTCACTTTGGTCTCAGATGTTTGAGCTTCTTCAGTGGCTCTGTGATGAATACAATCTGTGCTTTGAGAAAGAGGCCAGAAAAACCGTATGTATGATGTTACATTAACTTTATAACTAAGACAACTGAAGAAGCTAATTTAACTTTTAATTTAGTTATTTTTTACTGTTGCTGTGTTTAGACACTTTACCTGTTCAGATGGGGATGCAGCTTACTGTTCATTACGGCCACGCACAACAACACCACTAACAAGATATTTGTAGAATGACATTCCAGTAGTTGCAGGGTAAAGGTGGACCTGTGAGAGTGGTAGGGGTTGTTGCTCTAACTTTTTGTACACCCAGTCAAAGACTCTGCAGAATGCTTTTTAATATGGCAGCAGCTGTAGCTATGTGATGTTAAACGCTCCGTCTGAACAGCACATCTCTAGAGACATCTAATTTCAAATCTGTCTAAGCGTATTTGGAGGAAACAGCTGCAGATGAGTGCATGTGTCTGTCTTTGGCATGTGTGTATGTGATGAAGGTTGAATGTAGAAATGATTAAAGTCTCAAACTTTTAACTTATGAAACTATTACTATTAAACATATTTTCCATTTCTTTGTATTTGTACTGTAAATATCTGTTCGCATGCATTTACTTTTTAAGGACTGTACAAGATACACTACTGTACCAAGCTAATTTAGAGGAATATTCCCATTTAAGAAAAATTTGAAATACTAATTGTCTTATTTCTTCCCTCGCCCCTCGACTATGATCTCCTCTCCACTGATCCGAGCTCCCCACAATTTACCTTTCTTCATCTCCACTCCTCTTTTCTCCCCATTCCTCCTCATCCCTTTACTTCCCTCCCCATCTCCTGTTTCCCTCCTTGCTTATACGTAAACATGAAGGAATGTGATTCCTCCAGAAGGAAATTCAATAGGGCACAGCAAAGCAGGAACAAATGCCACTCCGCACCTGTTTGGGGAGGAGGAAGCTCAGGCACAGAGGGCGGGCAGAACTGATCCTGCGGGGTGCAGGAGGCAAAACCCCTTAATCCCTGTGACATTTTAGCTCAGACCTCTCATCAAAGCCTGTGAGCTGCTGTGCTGCCTGGGTAAAAGGAAGGCTGGAGGATGCAGAGATAGACAAAGACAGACAAGCAGATGCTGGATTAGTAAAAGGAGAGACATTTTAAAAAGCTGCAAGTCTCGGATCAGATGAATTGCTGATTAAAGCCACAGCAGCCTTGATAAAGAGGCCAGTTTCTCCTTCCTCGCTTGTTGGCGTCACATATTCTCTGTTCAAAATGCAAACGCCATCACTCTCTGACATGATGCACTCTCTGCATACTGAGTCCCTAGTGATGCCTTTCCCTAGGCTGTGCTCATTGGTATCATAACTTCAGTGCTACACTTTGACACCAGACACAGCCAGCTGGGCATTCACTCCTCCCTGTGGGCTTGGTCTCTGTGATACCCCAGGAGACAGCAGCTCCTCTACCTTTATCAGTCCCCACCTTGAACACCCTGTCTGTCCATATCATTCCACTGCACACTGCCTCCTCCTGCATTCATCCAAGCACGGAGATCCCTGGAGGGGTGGGACCTAGGTGCCAAATGTTTCTGCCGGCATGAAAGAGAGGGGAGGCAGAGAGGGAGAACTGAAAAAGGCACGCGTACCTGAATGTGAAAGTGTTTCAGATGATATAAAACCTTTCAGCCAATTTACACCTTCTCCTCACCAATAAACAGTGCCATATGCAGTGTGAAACTTTCTGTCTACCTTTAATGTGAGTTAAAAGTGTGCAGGTCCCTTGCCGCGCATTGGATGCTTGCCTGCCCTTGGATGAAACAGAAACAACAGAGGAACAGACAGACAGAATATCAGGTACACTGAGTGAGTAGAAAATAGACTTGTTATTGTCTACAGTCTGACAAAAACAAGTCAGATGATCAAACATAAAGAGGAACAGAACCAGGACCTCAAAAGGCCACTGATATTGTCCTGCAGCCAAAATAGAGAAGGGGAAAAAAGTGCATGAAAAGTATTTGATTACACACTTTGGATGACTTTCAAACCCCTGTGTGAGTGATGAAATACCTTCAGTTTTCCCTGCAACAACCCAAGCAAGGTGAATGCTACGAAGTTTTTGTTTCAGCATAAATGATGTTTGGCTGAGGTCACTCACTGAGCCCTCATTTCAATACAGCCCAGATGAATACCGAAGCATTTCATTTATGCTCGGTGTTTGCTCTGAAGATTACATTATTAATCCACGGAGACAGAGGATTATGGTTTGTGGTCCGACTGATTCAGAAGGCACAGCTGGGACAAACTAAATTGAGGTCACATTCTTATAGACCAGGTTTCATGCCATTTAAACCTTTATCTAGATTCAATAGCTTATCATGGCTACAGCTGGTCGATTTGACATGTATTAAACTGGGGATAAAGCACATGTTTGATGCATTTTGTCAACCTAAAGTGAATGATACATTAAAAAGGAGAGGTTTATGTGAAAAGCCCTTTTTACTTCAATTGCACATTGTTTCATTTTTTTCTCTTTCTTGCAGTTTATATTAAAGCCCCTAAACACATGTAGCTCACCCAGAGGTGTTTTCACTTTTCTGTCTGACGAGACATCTCACTCAAGACTCTGTGGTTGTGTACAGACTGTTTATGACTGAAATATCTTATCAATTATTACATACTTACTATTCAGTATGTACTATATGCTAATCTCACTTAGTAAAGAAGATATCAACATACTTGAACATACTCAAACATATGTTTTTCTTTTTGTTCCTACAGTCGGACGTTTGAGCTTCACTGTGCAGAATGATGTATGTGCAGAGTTTGACACTAGAAGGATGTTTTCATATGAATCTGCTGAAAGTGGAAAGTTCTCTGGTTATTGAAAATCTGATTTTAAGGGGCATGATAGTTCAAATAGTTTTTAGTTTTACTTTATCTAGTTAATCCTGGTCCAGTAAGTGTGATGTGGAAACTTGAATGCATCAGTGCACATACACAGAGAATGGATTTTACAGTGAATTAGGAGATATCTTGTGTCCAGCAGGAAAATGTAAGAAATTGGACAGGAAAAAAGTTTTAAAGAAGTAGAAGAAATAAATGCCTTTTTAAAGATTTTAAGGTGGAAAATGTCACATTATTGCTCCAATAAGCAGACTACATATAAATATATATTTGTCTTAATATATTCCTGGAAAGGATCTTTAACCATTTTAGAAGAAAATTATACAATACTTGCTGCATCAGATATTAATTCAACTGCAACCTCAGAATCCCATTTAAGTTTAACAAAGAGACAGCAAATGGTTTTGTGTCACCACTATTCCACCTGTGAGCAGCTTTATCATTGATTTTGTGCATTACATTGCAGGAGAACACTGGACACTCAAAAAGCATGTTTTTACTTACTGTTTTTAGTATACTTCACATACTCAAAGTCTGCTTAGTGTTGGAAACAACTATTATCCTATTGATATTTGAAGACATTATTCTCAGTATAGCTCTGCCCATCACCAACCTGAGCAGAGGTCTAATTGGGCAGAGGCTTGAAATATTGGCCCTTTTTATAGCAGGTATTCTGACTTGTATTTTCAGGAAAAGCACAAGTGGACTTAATAACATTAAAGATGGCTCTGTGTCAGTTACTTGTGTAACATCCAGCCGGGCTACAGGTGTTGCTCACTTACTGACTTAGGCCTCACTCAAGTGGTAGAGAGCCACCACTAAAGATATTGGATCCGCCTGTCCTTTTCCTGCTAAGCCAAAATGTTTAATGTGAAAAAGGACCTAGTGGATCAATCTGTTGCTAAAATGTGAATGAATATGACTACAAATCTGTGCACCCTCTGAATATTCCAAAGCACATTTAAACCTATTTCTCTACTTGTTTTTATCTCATAAGAGTTAAACAAAACCATCCTTGCTTTGCCCATGAGGCTAAGACCAAAAGCTCTGCTGCCTCATTTAATGTAGTCATTGCTCTTTTATCTTTGACCAGAGGGCGGCAGTCAAGCGTGTATCCTCAGTGCCTCTGCAGGTTGTAGCCACACACACACACACGCACACACCTACACACACACACACACACACACACCTACACACACACACACACACACACACACAGGGTACATTATGTGTAATTACTTTGTAACGAGCTGTGTAACGAACTGCAAAGTGAGTTTAGGAAATGTTATTTCTGCCAAATTAAAATCATAAGTATATATAATAATTGAGTCACATTCTCTGTATAAAATCTGACTGGAGCTGATTTTTTTTTTTTTTTTTCAAAAACTATATGAACTCTTAGAAGAAGAAGACTGGCAAATTATTCAGTTTTGCATCAATTTTAGTCAAGCAAATAAAAACATTATATACATTAATATCACCTGCTGATTTCAGAGGAGATGCAATACAGTTGAGGAATTTGAGAAAGCGATTTAAAGAGCAATGAAGAATAACTGAGAAGAAACTAATTGAATTATTAATTAATTAGTTGAATTATCGAGAAGTTTAGATACATTGTGTCATTTCTGTCCATAGATGGTAAATATATTAATCACCCAGATTACAGTGACTTCATTTTTCGAGTTGCTAATTTATTAAATTATCTCGGGGCCTCGAATTTAGAAGAAAAAGGGGCAGAAAGGAAAAAAACCTTAACAAGTTCCACGACATGCGCTCAGCTATTGGATGATGGATTACACTGGTACCAAGCAACGGTGAGAGCGAACCTTATCATCCCGCCTCCTCGGGCCTCTTTGCGGGTTTGCGATTGGACGCCGGTCTTGTCATCTCCCCACCCCCCACCCTCCACCCTCTCTCCACGTCCGCCCAGGTTAGGTTGCTCTGCACCGTTAAGATGCTCAATTGATGGGCGTACTGAGCTGTGCAGTGAAAGGAGACACCCTTACGTGTTTCATTGTAGCAAAACAAAACCATGTCCTGTCCTGCTCATATGAGTGCTTGTTGCGGGTTTCAGGTTTGCGGTACCCTTCCCGGAGCTCGGCTGGTTTTTCTTCCTGCGCGCGGCGACAAGCGGGTTGGACGATGCTATTGCGGCGTTTTAAAGGGAAAAAAGCTCCTGACAGAATAACAACACAGGGCAGTGCATCGCCGCTAGCACCACATATCAGTGTTTTAATAGTTTAATCCGGATGAAGGTATTTGCCTGTGATCTCGTGGACTCGGACAACGCGGGTACTTTTGGGGGAATTTGGCTGAAACGCACCTGCCGCGAGATAACGGAGCAACCCGGAGCACATGGACATCTGTTCCCTGGACCTCAAATCGGACACATCTAGAGTGTTTTCTCTTGTTACGCCGCCATGGAGCATTCACAGTTTTATAATCTACATCGGTTTAGTATTGACTCGTCGCGGTGCTTCAAACCAACCCGAGTGTGAGGATGACAGCTGATCGCCCCTCCTCTCCCAGCAGGACTTAAATAAAAAAATAAAAATAAAAAAAACGCGCTCCATCTGAATTGGAAGTCAGAGTCTCAGTTCCAGCCTAGTGTTTAACAATAGATGGAGCGCACTGGGGCTGTGGCATTCTGGTCCACTGCCACCTTAACCTTTCCCTGATCAGGTTACCTTCGCACTTACCAATCCGGCATTAGCCTATGTCATAGCCTATTTCACCGAAAGGCCTTTTTTTAAAAATTTGATTTGTACTCATCAGGAAAGATTGAAATCGTCCGTGTTGTGCAGGGGGGTGGGGGGGGGGGGGCGGAGCGGGGTAAAAACGCTCTTTTCTTGTGAGGAAGTGCTGCTGCGTGTTTCTGTGGAGATGCTCTGTCCGACTGCCTCTCCAAGTGGAAACTAAATTTCTCTTCTTGCTCTTTGGTACTTTTCGTTAAACCCCCATGGCCGGGGATGATCCTTGAGTAGCCGATAAAATAATCAGCGTCGCGGTGTCAGCAAAGGCTTGAGCTACAGGGGGATTTGTGTAGATTATCGCCGGACTGCTATTTTGTTCCCTTGGTCACACTCTTAACTGAACTTTGCGGCTTTTGATCTGCAGCCTTTTCCCTGCTGCCCCCCCATCAGCCGCCTGGAATCTCCAGCAAGGAAAGCCTGTTTACAAGCCACGCTATTCATTGAGAAAGAGTACGGGGGTGAGGGGGGTGGTGGGGTGGGTTGGGGGGGGAATCGGTTTTTGCATTCATAAGCAATGACTGCCACAGAGATGTCTGGACCCAGATCTGAGGATAGTTCGGCTCATTTGTCTTGTTTGTTTTGAGGCTGTCTGCAGTTAACGCTCCTTGTTTACTGGGCCGGGTCACATGCCGACGCTGTGACCGGGAGAAGGTAGCCCCGTTAGTAGAGAGTGGAAAAAAGAAAAAAACACAGCAGCGCCAGAGCGAACACTTTTCCGGACCCGTTTTGACTATCTACCGGGCGGCTACCGGAGGATGTGTGAGCCAGGATGCTGCGCTTCCCCGTGAAGAAGATCCGGAAGCAGTTCAAGCTCCTGCTGCTGCTGGTACTGCTCACCTCCGCCGTGTGGTTCACCTACCTGCACATCAACCAAGGCAAGACCATCAAGCTCCACTTCAACTACGGGAAAGGTAAGCTGTACTGAGACGCTTGTCTCTTCATCTCATGTATTACACTTTCAAGTTTTATGTTTTAAAAAAGGAGTCTTGTCTTTTAGCCTGATGGATGGGAGATAACAGCTCCTAAAGACATTTAAAAGGGCATTTAACAGCTCCTTTATGAATACTGTAGTGACACCTCAGGAGATAATACCAGTGTAACATCGCTGTAAAGTCACCACAGAGTGCAGGGATATTACAGCAATGTTAAAGTGACACCACATGAGATAGTAATGCTATACAGTAGACATGGTAACAGATACAGGGGAGAAAAAATCTTGCTCTTCAGATACCAAAACTTACGATGAGATCAGTATTAAACACAACAGATGCACAAAGCCTCTTTATGAATATTGGCTTTATGAGAAATGTGTCTCTGAAATGAATGCCCTACTGCCCTGCTCTCCCTGGGGTAGTTTGACAGGTAGAACCAGATATAAGAAGTAACACAGAGAGGCAGCGTGTCTTCATAAATTAACAATAGTTTCCTTCTCCAAGCTAAGTAAAGAGCACCGCGGTGGCGAGCCGGGTCGAAAGCCAGACCTCCGCCTTCGACATTAATAATCAAAGGGCTGTTCATGAAGGTGGCCTCAGAGGTCACAGGCGTGCCAGTCAGACTTGGAAAAATATCAGGAGTTGGGTTTGGCAGTACAGAGGAGGCAGATCTCCACCTGCTGTGATGCTTCCTATCGCCAAGGCTTGATTGCGTTCATCCACAATTCATGATGTTGAGTATTATACAGGAATAACAAGTACTAATGAAAAACAAAAAACACTGATAAAAGGTGTAACGTACCATCACCTACTACTAGATTTAAAAATGGGACGATGGTGTACTCTATCTCCTGCAGCTGTCTGTGTAAAGTGATACTCAATGATTATGATGTCCTTGAAGAGTGTACACCCCGCATGACACACACACACACACACACACACACACACACACACACACACACAAACACAAGCACACACGCGATGCACTGACACACAGGGATCATTTCATTGTCTCTGATCTTAGCCGTGGGGTTTTCCCAGCAACAGACTGGATTTAGTTTTCTGATGAGAGTCCTCAGTCATACGGGCCGAAGACTGCCACTCTGGCTTGTTGCATGTGGAAACTGCAACCAAGTGAATTCTGAGTTTGTATCATTGATCATGGATGTATATGGCAGACCTCTCTCAAGAAAACAAAAAATGCACATTACATGCTTCATATATAGGGAGAGACTATTGCAAAGCTAGTGTTGTATTGCACTATGTTGCACAGGTGGTAATGATACTGATAGCACACCCTGTGTTCTCACACACACTGACACTAAAGTATGATGTAACAAATGGTCACTCTCAGTCCTCTTACACAAGCAGATATACTGGATATCATTGCACTGTGCACTTCACCCTTGCCCAAGAGCATGATTCCTTTTTCATTCTCTGTAATCACAGAGCCAGACGCACGCTGATGTTTTCGATATCACTGTGTTCCTCCTTTTAAGAATTCCACTAATAGTTTGCCTTTGTGACTCGTCTGCTGCGGCACACGGCCATTTGATGAGGAAGGAAGCTGTTATGCTGTACTGGTCTGTGTGTCTAATTGACTGTCTTCCATTTAGCAGGCATCTGAGCAGGTCAACTCACTTAACCTCTTATGAATAACATGTACCCTCTCGCACCAAAGGTTTCTAAGTGTGATGTAGCCATTACTGAAACTGGGGCTCCATGAAGTGTGTAAATATTCATATCAGGCTGGCAGTATTCTCTCCACACGAGGATTTTCATTGATTCTTAGCACCGAGGTGGGGCAGGTAGAAATAATGTAATTTCATTTCTGGCCTGAGTCCTCCCTTATTTGAATATGAAATGACAATTTGTCAAATTTCCATTCTGCTTGTCCCTATTTTGGAGGAAATTAGATTCATCACAGCCAAATCCTGTCCTTGAGCAAGCACACGTATCAGACAGATTTCTGCAACTGCTTCATCCATTAGATAAAGTCTTATTGGCATATGACCAGCAGACTTATGAGAAATGTAAACACCTTGTCATAAAGTGCCCCACTGAGGCTGCGTCTATCTAATTGTAAATAATTATTTGAGAAGTGTGTTGCAGACAGTTTACATCAGATGATTTTTATAGACAATCTGTCTGGTGTTTCAAACTTCAGTTTACTCACCTCCATGTGCTCACGTATTGGTTGACTGGGTCAACATAATAAGGGAGCCGAGTCCTGAAACTTTGAGAACAGGCCTTCTTAATGGTACTCTGTGGAGTCCTTGTGGCAAACAATCACAGTTTTGTATGTTTTCAATGTTGACATCAACCGAAACACATTGTGTTATCTTTAAAGTTACAACACTTAAGATCTCAGAACCTGGTTGATTTGGTGACCCCTTTAGTTAGTGCTGGTAACAGCAAGTGCGGTTTAATACTACAAGAAATCAGGCAATAATTGGTCTTTTTCCATCATTCTGTGAGCACCCACAATCTGATTTGTGCAGCACATGGCATTAGTCTGTGAGCAGCAAGGCACAGTGAAAGGAGTTTGTTACCTCTCTGAGAAGTTGGAGGTTCTCACCTGCAGCTCTTCATCTAACTGCTCCCTGTGGCAGCTCCTCTTTATTCCATTGCTCCCTGCAATGTTTAAAACTGACCCGCTGTCAAGAAATGCAGAAAATTATTTTTTTTGCAAATACATCTCACTGACAAACACATTGCATTTCTTGTGACTCCTTCATAATAAAAGTCAGCGCATGTTTTACCAGTTAAATGCTCTTAATGTGAAGCTCCAGCAGGAGGAAATGTTTTGCTTGCATTAGCAGTAATTTCACACAGCCTGTAATGTTTGTAATACTGCAACATATACTGTAAATATTTTCATCAGTGGGCCATAGGCTCAATCACCATTGTATTACCTCCTTTGGCAATAGATAGATGATGTAACAGACATTTATTGAAATGAAAATCGTTATTACTTTATGACCTAACAAACATGTTAAATACATTTTTTACTTCATTAAACATTTGCAATGTTTTTCTTTAATTGCCTTGAAACTTGCATAGTTTATAGAAGGTGGCAGCCTTCGTCTTTTCCTCCACCTTTTTGGTCCATTACATGTATCAGCTGTAACTGCCCCCACATGGGATATGGGAATCCAGTCATGGAAAGTTTCTGGGGCAACTCTGTGGATTCGGTGACAAGAATCTGAGTGCAGCAGTGAAAGGGAAGCACTCTCGGCAGGTGTTAATTACCTTGACGAAGCTTCGGATAGGAATGACATTTACATCCTAAAAGGGTTTTGCTGGGTTTAAATGAGCCATGGCAATCCCAACCCAGCCTGTGTCACTCCTAGTCTAATGGAAACTGTGTGATTAACATCCGTTTACACACAGGTTGATGGACACATAATTACTCAGAAGTCATGTGTGGTCAGTAACATCACACTGTGGTTGGTAGGCAAAGAAATCAATTACACAGGAGTGTCATCAGGTCATTTTGATTCAAAATTGTCGTCATTCAGAGCAGTAAGCCAGCCACAGCTGTGTTGAAATGGACCATCATTTTCTGCTTCTAAATTATTCAGTACAGGATAGAGCTGTGTGATAGAGTGATGATGGGCAACCCACTCACCTTTTTGTGATTTTATAAAAAGTAGAGAGGAGAGAAGAAACCAATATCGGAGGAACCCTACTATTCAAAAATGTTTACGAGTTACTTCCATCCCTGCTAAACATCTCTGCTTGATGAGAAAACTTTAGGTCAGGATCTTTTCCTCACATCACATTATGGAACGTAGCAACAACATAAGAATCTTGATTCGCTTTGTGTATGAAGGTATGATTTACATATCTCTTATTTATGAATAGGCCAGTCAAAAGAATATAATTACAGCATAATGAGCTGTACCAATGTGATGTTTGAGAATGTGTGGGTGTTTCTTAGGGCATTCATTTATATTTTCTTAAAAGCCAAGGTAGCTGTTGTAACTACGATGATGGGGAAAGCCAAAAAGGTATAATTAAATAGTTTTCAAATTGCACACTGGCCAGACTGGCCTTATTTAATCAGAATTTCAATGAGAAAGTGTTTTGGCAGGCAGTGCTGCGGTGCATATTAGATGAGTGCCACATTTATGCGGCCACCCAGTTGTACAACAGCCCCCCTGTTTTCCAGCATCAACAGGTCCACTGAGGAGGAGGAGGAGGAGGAGGAGGAGGAGGAGGCTGGCTGCTGCATACAGGCCTCTATTGATTAACTGTGATTACACATGTGGAGGCCCGCACATATGCATACACTCAACCACCTCCACACAAACACACCAATATGTTGCTTATATATTTGTAAAACAGCACATAATACACACATACTCTTCGATATCATCACCACTCTGAAGGAATAAGGAGGAAGTCGGAGAGGGGAAGTCTCAGGGGCCTCGACAGATTGGCTGGTTGGTTGCCCATGGAGACAGCATATGGGAGAGGAACGTGCTGGGCTGGTAGAATGTTTCAGAGTCTATTTTATCAAGGCCTATACATTCTCAGGTTTTGAGGAAACTTGAATGCGTTGAATATCCACCGAGGAACTAAAAATAAAACAACTTGTGCATGCAGTGTCGTTGAATTGTGTTAGAAGCTCTTGAGAGGAAGGTAAACCGGTCTCACAGAACCACACATTCGCATTAAAACACTCGGATATACTTACAGTTCAGTGTCAAGTTGGCTTGTTGTTGTATCTCAGCAGCAACACCCTCAGGCTGGCTCGCTGTCATGGTAACCATGCCCTCCGATGTCACTTTCCCTAATCTTAGCTCTTGTGGTTCTCACGGTCAGTCAGCTTTACCTCGGCCAGAACCACTCTGGCAGCAGAACGGTAACAAACACCACCTTGGCGTGTGTAAGTGCTTAAAAACTCACAGCACCTTCGTTCATGTTATCATTTATTCATGCAACAATGAATATTGTCAATTACCTTTCAGATT